GGAGGACTGTTCCCTTTGCCTAGTTGTTGATGTTTTGCGTTAATCCTATTTTCTTTCTTTCTTTTTTGCGGTACGTGGGCCTCTCACTGTTGTGGCCTCTCCCCTTGCGGAGCACAGGCTCCGGACGCACAGGCTCAGCGGCCATGGCTCATGGGCCCAGCCGCTCCGCAGCATGTGGGATCTTCCCGGACCGGGGCACGAACCCGTGTCCCCTGCATCGGCAGGCAGACTCTCAACCACTGCGCCACCAGGGAAGCCCAATCCTATTTTCTTTTGGTCCCATAACTTTATAAGAACAGACTGGGAGAACACTGTTGGAAACTATTTCAATACAAATGTCAAGCCCTGACAGGTGTATTATTTCCCCAGGGTTTCAGTGTTAAGCTTCCACAAGAAGAGAAGCGAAGAGCTGAGGTCATCTGTGTGACACATTATTAGTAAGACATATGTTAATTCCAAAGAACTCTTGGCTAAGCATGACTTGTACCGTCTTTGGGTATCTAAATAGTTTACTTCACAACTTCTCCTTAAAAAAAAGATCACAGGGACTTCCCTGTGGTCCAGTGGTAAAGAATCCGGCTTACGATGCAGGGGATGCAGGTTCGATCCCTGGTCAGGGAACTAAGATCCCACATGCCACGGGGCAACTAAGCCCGCGCTCCACAACTACTGAGCTATCACACCTCAACTAGAGAGCCCGCGTGTGGCAAACTACAGAGCCCACGCACTCTGGAACCTGTGCGCCACTAGAGAGAGAAAACCCGCACACCACAACTAGAGAGAAGCCTGCGCACCGCAACGAAAGATTCCAAGTGCAGCAACTAAGACCCGCCACTGCCAAAAATAAATAAATCAATAATAAAATAAATATTAAAAAAAAAAAGATCACAAAACTAATAAACCCAAACACAGGAAAGCATACCCAAGTGCGGGCAACTGAGATCTTTCCCAGGAACTACAGCAGAAGTAAGCAGTGTGTCTACCGATGTAATTGGAGACTAACAAACAGGCAGGGTTAGTTGTCCACTGGAATCGTGGCAGCTGTTCCAAGAAAGTGCAAGGTCATCCTGAAGTAGCAGAAAACGGATAAGGCTAGTCAGACTGAATGTGGCACACCTCCATAAACTAGAACAGTCAGCCCTGTTCTCCGTGTGGCCTGAACCACCCCTCTCCTGCAGCACACCGGCCTGTAAGGAGGCAGAGGGGGGCAAAGTTATCATATTAATCCCTTACTTTTCTGTACTCTTTCAAGTTCTCCACAATATTATTTCATAAAAACAGGGAGGACTTCCCTGGTGGCGAGGTGGTTAAGAAGCTTCCTGCCAATGCAGAGGACGCAGGTTTGATCCCTGGTCCGGGAAGATCCCACATGCCGCGGAGCAACTAAGCCCGCGCGCCACAACTACTGAGCCCGCGTGCCACAACTACTGAAGCCTGAGTGCCTAGAGCCTGTGCTCCTCAACAAGAGAAGCCACCACAATGAGAAGCCCGTGCACCACAACAAAGAGTAGCCCCCGCTCGCCGCAACTAGAGAAAGCCCACGGCAGCAACAAAGACGCAATGCAGCCAAAAAAATAATTAATTTTTTTAAAAAAAGGGAGGGAAAGATGGGGGGGCAAGCAAGTGGCCTGCTGTCACAGCTGACTTGTCTGTGACAGCCATGAAGTCCTGTCCTTTCCTGGGCAGTAGAGGGAGATGGGAGTAGGGGAGGTGCTGCCAGCATGACCAGAGGGATTGCACGTGTGTGCAGGCATCAGAGGCCACCCCCAAGTGTCCTACAGTTGAAATCATCGCTCACATCTTAACAAATATATTCCCAACTTTTCAAAAGAAATTCCACATTTGAAACTCTTCCCCTGGATTTTATAAATAGAAATCAAGGTTAACTGAAGAACAAGGAAGGCTTTCCCACACATCACAGCTTCCTGTTGACTCGCTTTATTTCATTTCTTGGTGTTGCAATTCCTTGCTACCCCTCAAAACTAACGGCCCCTTGGTCACTTGCAGAAAGAAAACTAAGCCGGAGCTTGAGCACCAGGCTGTGGTCTGGGAGCTGAAACACTGTTTGAAATCTTTTTGAGCAGAAGTTCTGGAATGCCTACTCCATTCCTTAAGGGCTAAGAATTGTTATTAGATTCATTTTGTTTGTTTGTCTCTCAATCTCAGTGTCAAATATAAACTATTTCACATTCCTGTATGAGTTTTACATATGGACTCACAGATCATCTTCTGCATGTTTTTCTGTAAATTTCTACAGTTTTTCTGTAAATTTTCTTTCTTTGACTTTTTGAGGAGTTGAAGAAAGTGCCCAAATGATAAGCGTTGAACAAAAATCATGGGTGAAAAATATGGTCTCTGCATTGGAAGGGACACATCTAAAGGCATCCCTCCATACTTCTAGGTCAGAAAGCTCAGAAAGCCATAATAAAAATGTTTCATTATATTAAGAATAGAATTTAGCAAGCTGAGTAACAAAAATTATTGAATAGTGTTCTAATGTTCCAGGGTTAGTACACCTTCTATCAGAAATTTTCCCCAAAGTCAGATGGAAATAAAGCTAATAGAATCCAATGCCCAGTGCAATGTCTGGCACATAATAGGTAGCTAATAACTATTTTAAAATAAATAAACAAACAAATGAATATGAGATAAAATACAAAAAGGAAGAGAGATGAATGATCCACACAGTAACGGGGGCTGTATGTGCCCCCAAGTAGCTATAGTCACTTTTAAGAACAGGTCTGTATCAGGGGAATAATAATAAAGAACCGTCCATCAGTTCTAAGGATATTAAAAACAACAAAAAATAAATTAAACAACTCCAAGTTTTATAATTGAAATATTCGTCTAGTAGAACACTATTCTCAGAGTATTCTTAGTGTTATGGGTTGCCTCATGTCCTCCAAAAAAAGATACGCTGAAGTCTGAACTCTTAGTAGCTCAGGATGTGACTTTACTTGAAAATAGGGTATTTACAGAGGTAGTCAAGTTAAAATGAGGATTTGGGTGGGCCCTAATCCAAAAGGACGTGTGTCCTTAGGAAAAGGGGAAATTTGGAAACAAAGATAGACATGCACAGAAGGAAGACTATGTTAAGAGACTCAAGGAGAACTCCATGTGAAGATTGGAGATAAACTACCACAAGTCAAAGAACACGTAGGACTACAGGAAGCTGGAAGAGTCAAGAAAGTACTCTTCCCCTACAGCTTTCAGAGGAAACATGGCCCTGCAGACACCTTGGTTTTGGACTTCCAGCCTCCAGAACTGTGAGACAATAAGTTCCTGTTGTTCTAAGTCACCCAGTTGTGGCACTCTGTTATGGTGGCCCCAGGAAACTGTAAGCTCAGCATAATCATGTTATATTTGCAGCTAGAGCAATGAGGGTGTTAAAAGGTAAACTGAGGCCTCAAACTATACAGATGTGAATCCTAGAAATGGGGGCTGGGGTACAGTTACAGCAACTCTGTTTCCCTCCTCAGATGCATCTGTGTTCTCCCCTTAAATTAAAGATACTGTCACCTCTGTATATTCTCTGAGCTAGTCTCGTAATAAGCAAACCCCCACAGGGAGTTTGTTGAATTTGACTAAGTTAATAAAACAATCACAAAATTTTTTATCAGCTTTTGTGATTCTATAGTGGGTCATGTGTTTTTAAACATTCATTGCTATTCAGTGGAACTTGTGTTAATCCTTAGTGGTTATCATGGGAAGTTGGCTTCGTAAAGCTGACTGACTTTGTAATATTTGTAACACTCTCCCCACTCTGCCCTTTTAAATAACATTGACGGTATTCCCTTACAGAGTCTCTGAAGTTAGCCGATAATTCAGGGGGGAAAAGAAACACCCTCATTTGCCAAATGACTACACTAAGTCCCAAAGAGGTGAAATAAACTGACTTTAAATCACACAGCTAGTTAAGGACACAGGCAGGACTATCTAATGCCCTTCACTTACACTCCATTTTCCCCCTGCAAGGTGTTCCCATGTAAACTACCCTTTGAAACATAGGGTTTCGAGTCAGAGAACCTACGTTCTTTCCCCAATTTTAACACTGATTGCTGTATGATCTTGAGCAAGGTGATTTACCTCTATGAAACTCTCCTCTTTAAATGGGTTTAGTGAGATCTATCTTATTGTTATAAAAAAAGATATGACAAATACCATATACCATAAAAGCATTAAACAGGTTTAAAAAAATAAAGTTTATTAAAAAGGTAATTTGGGGCATTTTTCTTTTTTTAATTTATTTTTTATTTTATTTATTTGTTTGTTTATTTATTTATTTATGGCTGCGTTGGGTCTTCATTGCTGCATGCGGGCTTTCTCTAGTTGCGGCAGGCAGGGGCTACTCTTTGTTGCGGTGCGTGGCTTCTCATTGTGGTGGCTTCTCTTGTTGCGGAGCACGGGCTGTAGGCGCACAGGCTCAGTAGTTGTGGCACGCAGGCTTCCATAGTTGTGGCACATGGGCTCAGTAGTTGTGGCTTGTGAGCTCTAGAGCACAGGCTCAGTAGTCGTGGCATGCAGGCTTCAATAGTTGTGGCACATGGGCTCAGTAGTTGTGGTGCGTGGGCTCAGTAGTTGTGGCTCATGGGCTCTAGAGTGCAGGCTCAGTAGTTGTGGCTCATGGGCTCTAGAGTGCAGGGTCAGTAGTTGTGGCGCACGGGTTTAGTTGCTCCGCAGCATGTGGCATCTTCCCGACCAGGGTTTGAACCCATGTCCCCTGCACTGGCAGGTGGATTCTTAACCACTGTGCCACCAGGGAAGTCCCATTTTTCTTTTATGTTATTTTATTTTATTTTTTTTTCTTGCTTTGCGGTACGTGGGCCTCTCAGTGTTGTGGCCTCTCCCGTTGCGGAGCACAGGCTCTGGACACGCAGGCTCAGCGGCCATGGCTCACGGGCCCAGCCGCTCCACGGTATGTGGGATCTTCCTAGACCGGGGCACGAACCCGTGTTCCCTGCATCGGCAGGCGGACTCTCAACCACTGTGCCACCAGGGAAGCCCCCTTTTATGTTATTTTAAAATGATTATTTCTCTATAATTTGACTAAAATATAAGGATTTTAAAATTTGTTTATATTTACGTCCTTCTCCTCTCACTATTCTAATGTTCAGTATCATGTTGCTTGAAGTTTACATAATTTAATTTAGAATCAGCATTCCTGGGAAAAAGACAATGTTCCTAAGTAAATCCTACTGCTGATAATAAAATAATAACAATAAATATTATATTTGCTACACAGTATCTACGAAAGGGGTCAGTGAGGTAAAGAAATTTTCAAAAAATTTATAAACACACACAACAGCAGAACATATTACATTCACTGTTCAATAATCCTTATGATGACAATGCTTTTATGTAAAGTAATCCGCCGGAGCAGATTACAAGTGAATTTATCCACCACAAACCAAAATCTAGTCACTTATGTTATAGCCACATCTCTTTCTTAAAAATAAAACGTTGGCATTACCTAGCTTAATCACTTGCATTATACATCAGTGTTAACTCTGAATGACTTTTTGACTATTCGCAATAATCAAATCCAGTGTTGGTGGATGAAGATCTATCACCATTGACAATATTTGTAAAAATATGCTTAAAGTTCTGAAGGCAATTCTTAAAAAAGAAGCACTAAATGTTTCAGAAATTTCAGAATGTTTTTTAAAAAAGTTAATTTCCAGTCGGCATTTTTTTAGTATTAATATGTTGGCCAATGTCTTCCTGAGGCAAAAGATTCCTTCCAGGTATATAAACGTTATTACATTCATTTAAAAAGTAGACTGACAGTTTTAGAAAATGTGAATACAGATAAATTTCAAGGGCATATGTCCCTCATCTTTTGGTTCTAAAGTAAAGACAGCATGATGTTAGGTGCATCATTCAGCTTATACAGTAAGGAAATTGCCCGCGAGTGGACAAGGCACATAGTTCAGCAGGGTTGTCCCACTCTGTACAACCCAAGTGTGGTCAGTGAGGAAAGCACTAAACAGTTAATCCAGGCAGCTCTCTTTTACAAACTTCCCCTTGATTTTGTGCCAGCCCTGCTGGTGCCACGCTTTGTTGGGTTCAGCCCTGCATAGAGATTCTTTCCTGAGCCTAAAAGAAGTAGGCTATACAAGAACAAAATAACAGGATAGATGTACGGGAAAAGAGGAAGCAGGAGCACGAAAGAAGGGCCCTGTCGCTCGCTCACTGGATAATGTCCATGGATGCAGAAGTTAGTCATGAAGCAAACATGTTTTAGTTGCATCCAGCTTAGAACCTGACATAATTTAACAACTTCATCAAGGGATTATTACCTACCAGCTGGAACATTAACACATAAAAATTAGAACATGTTATATACCGGTAATTGTCCCTAATGTGCCAGTAATCTAACCTGGAGACAGTCTGCAAGTGAGAAGCTGAACGATGCTCTCCTTTAGCCAATAACTTTATCCCTGGTGTCTTTATGAAAAGAAGCCGTGTTTTCCTTCGCTGATTGATTCAGATGAAGTGAAACTTGTTCTTTGCAAAAACATCTATTTAGTCCCTTTGCCCATCGTTTAATCAAATGTTTGTTGTTATTGTTAGTCAGCTGTATGCGTTCTCCATGGAGTTTTCTAAACCCTCTCAAGCATCCCCGTTCAAATTCACAGAGTCTTGATTTTCTCTAATTCTGTGTTCTAACTTTTACTTACATGAATGGTGACTTTAACTGACAGAGTAATTCAGCAACCCTAAGTTTCAAATTTTGAGTTTAGTTTTCAGCTACTTTAGCCTTAGGGTTAAAACATAGAAGAGGATTATTTTTGGTTTTGGGTGTTTTTATATTTATTTATTTTGAGTGTATGTTTTAAAATTTTTTTTAAAAAATTAAAAAGTAAACAACATTGACTTGAAGCACCTAATAGCTCATAAGAAAGATAAATTGAATCAAAGGATTAGGAAGACTGAAAAGGATTGAAGATGATCTTACAGAATGACACGATAATTTCAAAAGAAAATCACAAAGAATCAACAGACACGGTGTTAGAAATAGTAAGATAGTTTAATGAGGCAGACAGGTGTAAAATTTTCGTACAAAAGTCGACTGCACTTCTTTATACCAGAAGAGAGAGTCCAGATACAGACTCAAATATATAGGCCATGTTGTCTGTGATAAAAGTGAACCATGGCGGAAAGATTATGGGGGATCATGGGGGAAAGATTAGTCAATAAAGGTGCTGGGAAAGAGAAAGACAAATACCATTTGATATCACTTATATGTGGAATCTAAAATAGGACACAAATGAACGTAGCTATGAAACAGAAACAGACTCACAGACATAGAGAACAGCCTTGTGGTTGCCAAGGGGGAGGGCGGGGAGAGGGCTGGACTGGGGGTTTGGGGTTAGCAGATTGAAACTATTATCTATAGAGCACATAAACAACAAGGTCCTACTGTACAGCACAGTGATTAACTATATTCAATATCCTGTGAGAAACCATAATGGAAAAGAACATGAAAAAACATATATGTATGTATAACTGAGTCACTTTGCTGTACAGCAAAAATTAACACAACATTGTAAATCAACTACACTTCAATACAAAAATTTTTTTAAAAAGGTGTTGGGACAAAAGGTCTGTCCTTCAGCTTAAAATATTCAATATGCCAAGATGCCATACCATGGGGTAGTATGTCCTGAACCCCATCAGTACATATCAGACTAGCAAAGATTTTTTTTTTAAAAAAGATAACGTCCTGAGCTAGTAAGAATGTAGTAAAAAAAAAAAAAAATCACTCTCTTACGTTTTATTGGGAGTATAAATTGGTGTACTTTTTAAGGTAATTCGTTGGTGTTTATTGAATTTAAATATTCATACCTGTTTGCCCTCTCACAGTCCCACTTCCAGGAATTTAGCTACTGAAACACTTATTCAAGGAAGCAAAACATACATTATCTACAAAAACAACTACAAATAATGAAGAATATCTATAAATACTAGCACTGTAAATTCAAGATGTATACAAAAAATTATACAATAATTTATATAGCATGATCCCCATTTAGTAAGAAAAAAAGAAATTATAACATATATGTTAATATACTCATAAAATATCTCCAGAGGTTAAGACAATAGAGTTTTCCCTTTTAGCATTATGTTTATGTTTAAAGCACAAGCATTTATAAATTAATAATAATTATATATTAGTAATAATTTATAATTGAAATAGGTCACGGGAGGAGAGTAGACACCAAAGTATAAGAGGAAGTCTCTCAGGAGGGAAAGATAGGCTCCAAGGGTCAGGCAAAATGGGGGCGACACCAGATGGTAAAAGTCACTAAATGCTTCATAATGAACCACCAGCCAAGCAGTCTGCACACGACAGTTAATATTCAAATTAAATTTCTCATCTATTCATTGAGAAATACAGTATAAGTTAACCACCACTTTAACATTAAAAAAAGCTGCACTACTTTTCCACAATTTAGATTTTGCATTAATTCTGAGAAGGTCTTTCTCTTGCTCCCTCATCTCACTTGAAATCATCTCATGAGTGTAGATTCAAACGCATCTGTGCAAACAAACGCTTTCAATGCTCGGAAAAGTGCTGGATTGTGTGCATCTGGACCAGGCTTGAGCGGAATAGCAACAAGCATACAGATTGCTCTGAGGAAAAGTGAGTTTTACTGCTCCATGTCAGTAAAAGTGCATAGGTTTATTATAGTATTTTGACATGAAACATTATATTTAAAAAAACTGAACACTATTTCTGAACACAAAGTCTTTCTGAATGCAGTATTGATTCTTCACACGTGTGTGATACTGCCTGACGCTGCTCTTTAGTTTTGCCTCTGAAACAATCTCTCCCTTCATATACTTACCTTTAAATTCATCTTACATTGAGTTTAGACCATTAACATAACATAGGCCATCCTTGTTTAATTTGCCAATCCAAGCCATTTATTCCTAATCTTAAAACACGCTTCATTTAAAAAAAGCGTTCAAGGGAATGAATGCACGGAAATGGAAGTTGCCCAAGAGCTTCATATGTAGGCAGATACAAAAGACATCTGTGTAGTAATCCAGGAATCAGATCACTCTACTTGTCACCGTTTTTTTTTCAAGGATGGTAAAGGAACGGGTGTAACCATGGAAATGTTCCATCCTAAAACACAAATCTTAAACAAAAGCCCAAAGCCTAGGAACATCAAGGAAACCAAAAGCCCTGGCCTTCCAACAGAGAATTCAACATTACCATGACACAGAGAAACTAAAAAAATCCTTTCCACAACAGAAAGGAAAGTGCTACAAAGAAGGGGCCCTTTGCTTTTACCCTAGGCAAGATGCCTTTTATTCTGTAAAATAAAACACTTGTCAGCAACTACAGAAATAAAGTACGTGTCTAAAATTTTTTCCTAAGAAGGACCATTATTCAGTAGCTAGATTCAGCCACTTTCTATAGATAATTGTGGTGTGGCATTTAGATCCTAAAGTAAGGCTGGATATTCCTCACGTACTGGTTGAAATGAGGTAGTACTTGGGGGCACATGGATCCCTCTTGGTATAAACTTAACTGGAAACAACTAAACCTTGGACAAATTCATATAAAGATAATAACCCCTCTTTTGCCAAAGAGGCTAGAGTATGGACTACCAACACGTATTTGTCACACGTATATCATACGGTAAACACTGTCTGTGCTGGGCAAACAGCTGCCAACAAAACAGACAGGGTCCCGAATCTGATAGAACTTACATCTCACTTAGTGAACAATTATTGAATAAAGTAGAAGGGACAATTGCACAGTCTTAAATCGTGAGAAGGAAATAAAAGCGGTGAGTTAGGGTGAGAGGCTACTTGAGGCTGAGAAGTATTGAAAACATGACCTTTCAGCCAAGACTGAGAAGCCAGGAAGAGTGAACACGTCCAGAGGAAGAGGAAAAGCGGTCTCAGCAGAGGAACGACACCTGGAAAAAGCTCAGAGAGTTAAAATAGAGGAAAAGAAGGTGTGCCTGGACCTTAAAGAGCTCAAGGGGAACTTTAGGGAGGGCCGAATGCATAGGGGCTTACAGACCATGGTGAGCAGAATGAATTCTATTTGATGCACAAGGAGAAAACACTGATGGATTTTTGCTCTGATTAATGTTCTGAAACATCACTCTGCTGCTTCGGGGAAGAAGGAATAGAAGC